CCCCCAAAACCCCAAAACCCCAAAACCCCAATATGAATAGTGATATAGTCATTAATTCTAAAGAAAAACTAATTACTTTTATCAATTAATTAATGCATCTTTCTTCATGAATAAAGATACCTCTCATTTTAGAGCATTTATTATGAAATTAATATTTTCCTCAGATTACCCACTTTCCATTATTCTTTCTAATGCTTGCATAATGAAGATGGTTTCTTGAATTTTAGTAGTTTTCAGCCATATCTTCCCATTATATCCAATATTAATCTCATATTACATTTTTTAACCTAGCTTCTCTAAGATTCCTTCTCCTTAATTTGAACTTAAAAGTGATTTGCAAAATGATATGGGGAAGTCCTTAAGATAACCACTTTTAAGTTCTCCAAAGTATGCCTCTCCTGAATTCCAAGCTTTCTTATTTATTAGGGAAATGCATGAAAGCTAGGTCTTTGCAAACCTCTCATTCTTCAATACTCTACACAGGACAATAGTTCCTTCAGGATAATTTGGTTTATCTTTTCTTGTTGAATTTTAGAATTCCAAAGTGTTAAGTATTCCATAAGACTCACTATTGATGTCAACTGTAAAAAATTCTGGTGACTTCTAAACTATTGTGCCTATTACCACATCGTTCTCTTATGGTTGATACTAAAATAACAAGGTCATTGCAATTATCAAATTATTTACTCTGTTTGAACATATTGGAATAATATCAATTTCCATCTTGTTCTTTGACTTTGCTCTAGCATTTTTATTTGAATTGTGGACCTTATTATCGAGTATCCCTGACTTAGTTGCAACATATTAAATACTTGGTTTGCCACCCGAAACATCATTTTCTAAAATTTTAATTTTGAAGGCATCAGTATGAGTCTCTAGCTTAAAACTTTAGCCTGAAAGTAATTGAATTAGCATGAAAGTAAATTAAGTTTAAAAAAAAAAGAAAATAGATTGAATATATACCAAGAGTGTCAAATGATAAAATGTCTCCTGCTTTTATAAGTGTTTACTAATTCTCCATTAAATTTAATTTTATTGATATTAATATAAATTTTACTATCAAAAATATTAATGTTAATAATGAATTACGGGGTTTTGGGGTTTTGGGGTTTGGGGGTTTTG